GGTACCGTTGGGTACCGGCACCGAAATTCAGGTACTGATACCAGTACCGTACCGGTTCAAATGTGAACGGTACCCAACTCTAAGCATGACATCATTCACATTTTTGTTGTTTAGGAGACCGTGAGACCGTTGAGGCATCGCTTTCAAAATCTTGCATTTTCAGGCCCCCAAAATGCTGTTGTCGTGTAAATGAAACACATAAGAAAATGGTGTTGCGTAAACAGCCCCTTAGTGTGTTTGTGAGTTGCTGTATTTATGTTTCCATTGGATTATTTTACATCCTGATTTCTTCTGGAATTGTCAACCACTCCTAACCACTGTGTATTGTATGCTGCTGCTTATATTCTTTCTTTACAATTCACACATAAGAATAAAGGTGTAAAGCCAAGCTAGATGCATTTTTAGCACTTTAGCTGAATTATCGGCTCCAGCGCTCCCTTCTTCCCATTTAGATGATGTGTATAGATGAACTGAATTAAATCTGTACCTCGGGTTGCAGGTTTTTATGCAGGATCTGTTGATCATGCAGGTACTTTAAAGCCATGCAGACCTTCACAATCCAGTCCAGAATCTGTAATTCAGTAAAATGGGAATTTACTAAATTTATTTAGTTAAAAATGCAATATCTACTATTGACGGCAAGAGGTTAAAAATGATTTGGAATGGCGCACACCTGTCTATAAGAGGTCTAACAGCTGAAAGTGCATACCAGAGCAAAAACTAAACTGTGTCCAACATATGGGGTATGAATACTTTCACAAGGCTCTGTATATTATGAGAAACATCAGTTTTAAATGTGGGAAGCTGGTTGCTCAGGTGTTCTCTGATGTACATCTCAAGATGAATGTATGCATGTCATTATATAGGGTTGTGCTGCTTTAAAAGATCCTATAGATCACAGTTGCTCAATCCTGCTCTTGGAGTGTCACCACCCTACAGAGATTTGCTCCAGCCCGCTCCAACATACCTGTCTGGAAGTTTCTAGTAATGCTAATGACCTAGATTAGCTGCTTCAGATGTTTCAATAGGGTTGAAGCCAGACAATGCCGCTCTAGTTTAATAAATCATGCTAACGTATAGATGGATCTCTGCTCCTGGAGAGCCAACATTTTTCAGCTCCAAAATGAATCAAGTACACTTGCTTGTATTTGTAAGTGTTTCTGAAATGTATAATGCCTGTGCTAATGGGTTAAACCTCACCATCAATCTACAATCATACCTCATTCTCAGAAAATGTAACATTTTCCTCCTTTTTGTTTTTGATTTTCTGAGCGAGATCTCCGCCTTCACAGTGCTCCAGTACAAGATACAGACAGTCAGAATCTGAAAACAGATTCATTAGTTTAAAATCATTTAAAAACACACTAATATTTAATAATTCATTTAGCCCTGAATGCAGCTAATGTAGATGAACAGAATTAATTTAGAATTGTATCAACCTTTGATAAATTCCTTGTGCTGGACGATGTGTGGGTGATTGAGATGGGGGAGAAACTTTGATTCGTCCTAAAAACAGACAGAACTCATAAAGTCACATTTATTTAAAGCACTTTTTTCAATACATATTGTTTCAAAGCAGCTTTACAGTAATGCAGAGGAAAATAACAGTTACTGGTTAATGTTGTTTAAAGGGTTAGTTCACCCTAAAATGAAAAGCATCTCATTTACTCACTCTCAAGACATTTAGGTATATATGACTATTTTTTTCAGACGTACACAATCTGAGTTACATTAAAACATGTCCTGGCTCTTCTAAGCTTTATAATGGCAGTGAATGGGGCGCTGCATTTTGAAGCCCAAAAAAGTGCATCCATCCATCATGAAAGTATCACGGCTCCAGGGGGTTTATAAAGGCCTTCTGAAGCAATGCGATGGGTGCATTGTAAAAAAATTGTATTAACATAATATGTTATTACATTACACAAATTAATTGCATGCAGGTATTTAAAAAAAGTACAATGCAAGTACATATAAGTACAATGTAAAAACATGTATGTACGCAATGAGTGCATTGTATCAAATTATTAATTTAAATGTAAGTACATAGTTGTTAAGGCATGTACACCTATAGGATGGCTTGAGGCTTAGTAAATCATGGGGTAATTTTCATTTTTGGGTGAACTATCCCTATAAGTATTAATATTCATGCGAGGCTATAGGAATTTCTCTTTCTCCTCATTTACCTCTCAGGTCTCATTATAATCAAACTGTCTAACTTACCTGGTTAGCGCTCAACTTTTTAATGACAAACTGATCACCAGCTTCATTTTTCACCAGGATCTTATTCTCCTCTTCCCTCACCAGAGAGTAGCCATGTTCCTTTAGAGCTGACGGACTGTTGCCCATTGCTGAAAATATCTGCAAAGCAAAATGTTTAAGAAGGGAATGTATTTATGTATATTTAAGCTAACCAAAGATTTGCTTTCAGTGGAAATTGTTATATGCAAGGATACAAGGGTAAATAATTAAGCAGATATTGAGAAATGAGAAATGGAAACAAGGCAATCGATTTAAAGAGCATTGGTGAAAGTCGTTTAATTGTTTACTGTTCGTTTAACAGATGCATAAAATTATTTTCATGTTTTGTTATTGTAACTGTTTTTCTTTTGACAAATCAACTAAGATAATTAATGTTGTTCAGATAACATAATATTTAGAGTCTCTGTTAATTAAACTAAACGCTTTTGTTGTGTTTTTAAAATGATCTGATTCACACGTTCAATCATCACATCACAGTTCTCCTTGACAGTGGCTTTCTCGTTCAGGGTGATCGGGCTGAAGGATGAATGCAAGTGCTTATTGACAATCTCAGTGAGATTGTTGGTGGCTTCGAAGTTGCTTTTCATCAGCTCAATAAGCTCTTGACTTCTGCGGATAACCTTCTCCCTTCTTTCAGGATTTCCAGGGAAGAACAAATCACTCAAAGACATTTTCCTTTATGCTAGGGTCTTGTCTTGAAATAAGACAGAAACAATTACATGAGAAAACTGGAATTACACAAACACAATGTATTGTGTGTGTGCAAGTTTTTTGTGTTTGTTTATGTGTGCGTGTGTCTCTTTAATAGGTTCACTTCAATGCTGTGAAGCGGTCGCTATGGGAACACATTCAGTGTGAAGAATGTCTGAACCTTATACCATCACACCATTGTAGCGCTTAGCACCACTCATCGGTTTGATTAGAATATATTATGTAGGGTGCATAGAGCAACATGTTTGTGTTTTGTAGGCAGTTTACTAGGAACAGGGATTTAGTTAGAGTGGGGTTTTGTTTTGTTTTATTCTTTTATTTGATTTAGCTTTTTACAATCTCACCTAATTGATTGATTTTGATTTTGTTACCTCTTATTTGTAAATAAATGCACCATCTCTTCATTGGAACATTTTTGGCATTGTAGTTTTGTAGTGGATTGTCAGCCAGCATACCGACAATCAATACGTTTACATGGACAACAATATTCAGATTTTATCACGATTAAGACAATACTCTGAATAAGAACCTACCATATAAACAGAGATTTTTGATTACCTTAATCCGACTAAAGTCATACTCAAAGTAAACACAAATCGAATTAAGACATGTGGATTATTCCTATTGTAGTTGCATTATGGACGTGCAGTATTGACATGTACACACCTTAATCACACTATTATGCTTTTAGCCACATTTTGCGAAGGTTATAATACCTGGGGTTTATTTATTTATTTTGTATTATAATGCCTCTTATACCCCTAACTGCCTCGGAGACGACAGAACGTGTTCACACATCAGAAGAGCGCTATGTGGACCCGCTTGTCTTTGTTAATGATGATTTACAGCCTGCCCCAGAAGCTTGTAATTCGATTTCTTTCAGTTGTGAACTGTACGACGATGATGTGCTCTGATTCTGAGGACCTAATGGGTGAATTGTGCAGTTCTCTCCCTCCAAGCAGACAGGAAAAACGCACTTCCCCGTCTTATAGCGAGTTGTTAGACGTGATTACTAGCGCTGTAGGCAAGCTGGGGTTAGAACTGGACAGCTAACCGATGCAAAATCGGGCCAAGTTGAAACTGGTTCCGATTTCTGACTAGCCGTGCCCCAGCCCAGCCCTTTAGGCTTCTCCCCTTCTTCCAAGACCTCCACCAAGATGATTTCAAGATCTTGGAAGCAACCGTTTTCAGTGCGCATTACTAATCCCGCTGCCGCTGACTTCGCAACTCTCTCGCAGCCCATCTCGTGCCGAATTCAGCTCCTGGCTCTTATACGCTTGAGCAGACGCTTTAATTGGTCTTCCAGCTATCTTCAGGTACGTGAAGGCGTTATGGTATATCGTTCCCATAGCAACCGCTATTGCAGCGTAGAAGTGAACCTATGAAAGGGAACGTCTCGGTTACGTATGTATGTTTGAGACTCTGCGATGCCGGCCATTCCCATACCCCCGATAGCCGTTCCTTGGTCTTAAAAAATTATGAAATTGTGTGCAGCACGCTGATATGAGCATGTGTGACGTATTCTCGGGGTGGTGCTAGGCACTATTGGCAAATAAAATGGTGTGATGGTATTAGGGCTTCAGACATTCATCACACTGAAGGTGGTCCCATAGCGAGCACTTCGCAGTGTCTCGTTTCCTTTTCAGGGAACCAAGGTTACATACAAAACTGAGACATTCTCAACAGAACATGTACACTTGCCAGACAGCAGTAAACATGTCTAATCTGCTTCTCAGTGCCAGACTTGTAACACTAGAACTAGATGTGGCTCATGTTAATAGGTTTCAGGAAATCTCATAACTCTATCCCATATTAACTGTTTAAAAGAGAAGATTGCAATAAGGAAATAAATGAACACTTAGAGAATGAGATTGACTGCACACATAATAGACTATATAAGGTGTAGAGCAGAGTCAGTGAATATGTGCAGTCTCGCTTCAATAATGCACAATAAACACACTGGTGGAATACACAGCAAACACATCAAGTTAGTAAGACAGATCCAGCAGCTGAGTGGATGAACTTACATCTTCTCAGAAAGCTGCACAAGCAGGTAAACACAGGAGAGGCTCCTCAGTGAACTGCTGAAGTAGCTGTGCAGAACTGGAATGATCTAGACTGCTTGCCCAGGGTACTTTCCCAGCAAAACCAAGAGCAGCATCTCTGATTGGTCAGCTCTCCCTGACCAGCACATCCAGCCTGAAACTGATACCGAAAGCAGCTTTCCTCTTGCTATGCGACAGCCTCTCCCAGGAGCTGACATGGGGTAAAATTCCCCTCAGTCTGACAAAGCAATTTGCTTTATGCATTTACAGCAAAATCAGAGTACATGAAAAATAATATAATCAATAATTATAAATTATAAAATTTTAATAGCCTATTTGAAAACTTGAGGTAGGCTACTTTTTAAATATAAAGTCATGTTTGAATACATTTGATGTAAACACAAAGGATTTGATGTTCAGAACAGAGAAACTCCAGTAATTAAGCCATGCCCCCTGAGTGCGTTTTACCCCACTGAAAAAAAAGTCAATCTGAAAATACATTTTTCTTAAATAACACACTCTCTATCTACAAGGCTTACTACTTTCATAGCATACATAACTGTTTTGTTCTACAAAACAACAACCTTTAAAAAAAAAAAATTCTAATAGCTGAAATTTAGATCATTTACTGTGAAATGCGTTTTCTCTCAGGTACAGCACCAGTGTAAGCTTCATGGTGAATACTTCTACATTACAGAGCCCCTCCTAATAAACTAAATGCTGCTATCTGAACCCGTGTCATCAGTGATTACACACTATTTATACATAGTACAGCATCTCAGCTGAAAACCATCGACACAGAGATGTTAAAAAAATCGGACCCACTAGCTCTAATGGTTCATGAGTTGATGGTAAAAGAGTCAAACTGGTCCGCGAAACTTTTAACTCGATAGTTACATTAACACATAGTGTGTTGTTGCTCACTAGCACTTCACTTAATAGCACTTAAATAGGATTGCACAAATGTTTTAAGCATTGTGAAATTGTCAGGTTTTGCAGCGTGTGATAAAGTAATGCAGTGGCGCTATAATGAAATGAAACATGCACTAGCAACTAAATTTATGTTATGAAATCAAACAGTTAGATATAGCTTATGGAACAATAGATGAAACAGAGCAAGTCTTGTAGATCTTACTTGTAGATCTCAGGCTTCTGGAGTGGAGGTAGATTTGTAAGAATGAGTGGAAGTAGGAGAGTGCTGCGCCTGTGGCTGTTCTGCTCACTGGGGTTCCTCAGGGATCAGTTCTGGGACCGCTCCTCTTCTCCATATACACTACATCACTGTTGATGAACCTAACTGGATGGTGAAATCAGTCGGAGTGGTAGCGAAGAAGCTCGGTCTTTGCCAGACTGAGCTGTAGGTGATGAACTGTCTGAATTAATTACACTGAAACGAACCGATTCAATCAGTTCCGTCATCACTCGAAAGTGGATCAGCATGGTAATTTTGCTTCATATTTCCCATACAGTGCAATCAGTCATTTGTTTCAACTGTTTTATTTACAATAGACAAAAAATACAAACATATATACACATCTTAACACTGATTTATGCGATTGCCTGATCCACCGAATATCCTTCAGGCCACGCATCTGCATCCAGTGTTTGCAGATCAACATCTTTCACAAACATCTCAACGTTATACTCATGTTTATTGATCAGAATCACTGCTGTAGACCTGAAGAGACAGAGATGGTTTGGTGTTTTGTCTTTGTGCCTTTAAAGCTTGAACTGACTCTTTATGCACAATTGTCACTGAATTGCAGTAAAGTCTATTTTATATTAAAGAGCAGGTAGAAACATGATTTTATGACTGATTTTTGTCATTTTACATTTACATTCTTAAAATCAAGACACAATTAGCCAACTTTAGAAGTGAAATATACAGTTCGTCTTGTTTTACGTGAGTTTATGATTAAAATAAGAACAAATATCTGCCAGAAGAATCAACTGAATTCAAAAGGGAAACAAATCTTGCTTTAAGGATGTTTAGATATTGAAAATTAGTCAGAGCAGAGAAAGCTTACAGCATTCAATCTTGCACGCACTGCAGAAATTGAATATCTCCTTAAGTGTTTGTGTCTTGTGTTCCAGTACAAATATCTTAACATCCTTAAATCAAGATGCATTTATTTGAGATGCAAAAACATGACGTTTTCTTTTCTGAGAAACTGAACAAAATGATTTATGATTAAAACAAGAACAAATATCTGACCCTGGAATGAAAACGTGTTTTTCCTTTTTCTGAGCCCATTGGCAGAGATTGATTATATTAGTAAACATAAATTTGCCTCATTTTGATCAGTTTCTCCTAAAACAAGACATGTTATTTAGCTTCTTAAGTAAATGTATCTTGATTTATGAATCTTCAGTGTTTGTCTGCATTGGAAAACAAGACAAAAATAATAATAATGAGCAGCAACAGCAGTTTTTTGCAGTGTGATCAGATACAGTAAACGTTATTAAAAAGTACTAAAGATCTGTTTTCAAACTTTGAAGTGTTGCTAATGCAAGACTTTTACATTTAGAGACCACACTGACTTCTTGAGTTCCATTCAATTTGCTTTACTTGGTCTTAATAAACCCTGTTTGTGTGTGTTCTGTGCCATGTTTGATTTGTGATGTGCATCCAGTGATCATTCATTCACTCTCACAAAACATCTTCATCCTCCTCCTCCTCCTCCAGTCTGTGGTTTCTCTCACAGCTCCAGCCGTGGCTCTTATTGCCGCAGGTTCGTGCTGATTAAAGTGCGTGCT